CGCAAGGTTGCAGACATCCAGCTTCCCAGCTCAAGTATCATCCAGCTTCCCAGCTCAAATATCCAGTCCCAAACTCTGCATCCTCACCGTGGCCCTATGTGCCACTCTGAAAGTAGTTTCAACCACAATTCTCTCACTTTGAAGTGCCACCCACAGACAGGCACAGCACTCACCAAGTCAATCTCCAAGCTGCCATAGCACCATTTGGCTAAGAGTGACAGATGGGTGGAGGACTGGCTCCCTGCTCCATTCTAGGGGCCACTGATTGGTATGGGATCCAGGTGGGTGCCACTCCAGAGTCCAGCATAGTCTTGCAGAGGATCGGCCAAGCCTGTGTCTGCTACACATGCTGCGTGCAGCACCTCACACTCTGTCACTTCCCTCCATTCTTTGGCAGGTAGTGATCCAACTTTACTCCTTTTTCTAAATGGATAACCAGTTAACCCAGCATCATTTATCACTCCACCCTCATGCTGCAGAGTAGCACATTCTGGGATCCTCATGCACCCAGCTGAGCGTCCCTTCTGTGGCCTCCTGGTGTTCAAGTCCCTCCTGAGGCACACCCCTTTCTCCCAGGAACCTCTAACTTAGGAACCTCAGATCCCTGGGTGACCAGAAGGTGTGTGTGTTGCTGGGGAGGAGTGTGTTGGTGCTTGTGAGCAGGCTTCTGCCCCAAGTTCCTTCTCAGGACATACTCTGGCCCACAGGAAACTTGGGAACCCTCACCCTGCCTATTTTGCACCATTGGAAACCGGGGACTGGTTTCTTCCCTCGCCAAAATTACTTTATTTGTGTGAGAGAAAAGCAAGTTTTTTTCTATGTATAGACTTGCCAGCCATGTGGTATCCATTAACCACATTTGAAATATGGCTATTGTCAGGCAGTGGTTTCTCTCAACTCTTCCCTTGAATTTTTTAGTGGCATATTTGATCAATCTAGAATTTTACATTTCCTGTCAATGTTTTCCTGTTGGACTTAAATATTTTCATTTAAAATAAATATATAAAACCTCTCTGCAATGTTGCACAAGTAACTAATAACACTGCCTCTGGTGGGAACAACTAGTGTGTGGCAACAGAGAGGTGAGAGGGATATTTTCAATTTATATTCTTTGTTATATTTTGAATCATCAACCACTAGTATGTTTATATTTTAAACAAATTAAATTTAAGACAAAATCTAAAGAATTGGTTGATCTGTCTTTGCCCAGCCTTGTGGCTATCATGTTGTGTGAGACGCCTGATATAGTCTCTTTCCTCTGGCCTTCCTGAGGACTGGGGCAAACATATAGGTCAGTGTTCTGGTTGCCCACTGGACCCCCTGTGTCCCTGCCCATTTTTAACCCTGACCTGGTACAGTCCCTTTAGCCTTTAACAAGAGCAATGTTATAAAAATATTTAACCAAACTATATATAACCTCCCTTGTAAATAATGTTCTTGTATAACCCACTCACCATTAAGATGAAGTTATTAGGATTATAACTTCACACAATGAGAAACAAACTATTGCCTGTACTTGGCTCAAGATATTTAAGAGTTCTCAAAGCTAATTTTAAAAATGCATAGTTATCAAGGGAGACAAAATGGTGGCAGAATAGACGGATGTGTCCTGAGCCTTGTCCCGGAGCAAATAGAACAAGCAACTAAATCAAATAACATCCACCCGAATTGGCGAAGTAGACACAGCTGGTGAGACCATTTGCAGCCGGGAAGGGCAGAGGACACCTGGAGAATGATAAAATCAGGGATCTGGGCTGGAGAGAACTGCGAGACCTCTGAGCACAAAGGGTCAGAGGGAAACCTCACAGCACGGAGGCTGCGTCCCTTGGGACAGGCATAGCCTCTGAAAGGAGGTCCACAGGACTGCTGGCAGCAGGGGATTCTAGATCTGG